AATCAAATCAAATCAAATCAAATCAAAAAAGAAAATGATTTTATGAATGGTTTCCTTAGAGCTTCTTCCTTCTTCTTCTCCCTCTCATTTCCTTGGTCTATTCGGAGTTCTAGACCTACATCCTTTAGTTCTTCACTGGATCTAGACATATAGATATAGATAGATATAGATATATAAACATCCTGTCCTTGGTCTATTCGTAGTTTTAGACCTACATCCTTTAGTTCTTCACTGGATCTAGACATATAGATATAGATTTAGATAGATATAGATAGATATAGATATATAAACATCCTTTCCTTGGTCTATTCGTAGTTCTAGACCTACATCCTTTAGTTCTTCACTGGATCTAGACATATAGATATAGATATAGATAGACAGATATAGATATATAAACATCCTTTCCTTGATCTATTCGTAGTTCTAAACCTACATCCTTTAGTTCTTCACTGGATCTAGACATATAGATATAGATATATAGATATAGATGGATAGATATAGATATATAAACATCCTTTCCTTGGTCTATTCGTAGTTCTAGACCTACATCCTTTAGTTCTTCACTGGATCTGGACATATAGATATAGATATATAGATATAGATGGATAGATATAGATATATAAACATCCTTTCCTTGATCTATTCGTAGTTCTAGACCTACATCCTTTAGTTCATCACTAGATCTAGACGGATAGATATAGATATATATAGATAGATAGATATAGATATATAAACATCCTTTCCTTGGTCTATTCGTAGTTCTAGACCTACATCCTTTAGTTCTTCACTAGATCTAGACATATAGATTTAGATATATAGATATAGATGGATAGATATAGATATATAAACATCCTTTCCTTGGTCTATTTAAATCTATCTAGACATTTCTAGAGTTTAGACATATAGATAGATGGATCGATTTATAGATAAATAGATAGTTAAATTGATAGAAAGACAGACAGAAAGCCAAAAAGGTAGATATAAAGTTAGACTGCTAAATATAAATATATATATAGATGGACAGCTTAGCATATTATCAGATAAAGGTCTGTATTCATTTCTTTTAACTTAATTTATTTTTAATTAAATTTTACAATAGTTTTAAATATTTATATGATATCAGATGAAAATATTTTGATATTTCTATATTTCTTCTTCTCTTTCTTCTTGTTCATCTTTCATACATCTTTCAATCATATAACAGCTAATTTTGAAAAAAAGGATGTTTTTGTAAATTAGCCATTTTTACAAGAAAGACCATTTTAAAAGATCTTTTTTTTCTGAGCCCTGTATTCATTTTGTGTTAATTGTCTGTTTTTCTTTTCTTAAAAAGCTGACCAGGCAATTTGTAGTATTTCAACTCAGCTCTGTATTTATTGCTTACACATGTTTGCTAGGGTCGGATTTACACATTTCTTAGATCATTTAACTTCAGGAAGATTTTTTGAAGGGAGGAGGGTGGGACTTCTCCCATCCTGTTTTTATCTTTATTCGCTATCAATAAAAAAAGATAGTGTAAAGCTGAAAACACCCCTTCTACTTTTCCTGTCTTTTATTTTCTTTTTTTTTTCTTGTTTATCTTGTTTTTGCCCTTTAAGACCTTTCCAAATAGTCCTTTGAACATCGAGTTGTGGAGCAGGTAGGAGAGAGATAAGGAGGTTTGTAGGAAGAAGGGTATAGGGGATTTCTCCCTGTGTTCCTTCATTTTATACTGTTTCCCAGTTAGGGGAATTAAGGAATTTTACCCATAACTGCACCCCATATGCAAAATGGGGAGTTGTGATCCCTGAAAGCTCTCTTGAGAGGTATCTTCCATGGCAGTCCAGTCCTCACATCTGGTCGAGTAAAAAACTGGTATTGTTGTGCATGGTTTGTATTCCCACGAGGGGTTAAACTCCTCTTTCAGTGCACTAAGCTGAAGATGAAGTTTTTTTAATCTATGTACAATTCTTGCTTCCCCTGCAGGATATAAGATGCGTAACTAAACTCAGCGCTTCCCCAGCTGCAATTCTGGGACTGCATAGTAGGTCCGTTCTGCTTGAGAGAAAGCAGGCAACTGTAAAAAAAAAAACAATAAATAAGAGATTAAAGAGAAAAAGTTTGATAATTTTTTTGCTAACTCTACGAATCGTCTCTTTAAGAATTGATTTATTAACACTTTTACCAGGTCGAAGAAGCAGTGTTGAACATTCCAGAAACTGAGCAACCTAGACTTTATCAGGTCTAACCAATTCAAATATATTTATAGTAAGATCAATTCATCATTGTTTCATAAATAGTCTGTCAAAATTCGATAGAATTTGGGATAACAAAATGTAAATGTAACATCAAATGACCCTCCATGCAAAGATGGAAATGCCCGAGTCACAACGGTACCTTTAAAAGCTTCGTCTTCTCAATTATGAATTAGATTTAATGTTTTTAATTTTAAAAACTGATTATTTTCAATTTTGGGTTCCCTCCAAAAGTGACTTGCGCATTTCTAATACAGGAAAACATATTAGAATAAAACACTTTTAAACTTAGAAAAGACATGGTATTTTCCCATTTATTAATCAGATAAAGGTTTTCTAGGGTACCATTATCGGGCATTGCCATCTTTGCATGGAGGGTCACTTGAAATTACCCTTACAGTCCCTTTAACAAAGATAAACATTCAATAATATAAATAATAAAATTTAATCAATTTTAATTCCAGGCCATTTGCGCATTAAACATAAAATATTAATTTAAGAAATTCTTAAACTTTTAAATAAAAAATTATCAATTTTTGTATGAAGGTCGGAAAAACTATCTTGGTTCTCAAGAAGAAAGAATCTGACGTCAATCTGAGAAAATACAGCGATCTAGGTATTGTATTTCAGCATAGTGAAATATAAAGTTAATTCGTTTTCTAGGGTTTTGGGACTTCTTAAAGGTTCCTCAAAAACCTGAGAAATATTACTATTTTCAAATCTGTTTATTTTAAGCATTTGCTTTTACTATGCCAAATTTGGACCATGAGAGGAAATATAAGCGAAAAACGAACCAAAAAAAAGACTAAAAATAAACGTGTTATAAAACTATCGGTTTTTTATATTGCTTTTCCTTAACCCTATCCCTGCTGGGGTACTTGAAAACCAGGATATGCTGGGGGGGGGGTCCCCCCCCCCAGCAGGAATAGGGTTAATTGCAAAGCTTGATAAAAGCAAAACGACTAATGAATTGTGTAATAATCCTCCAATAAGTTATAAGTAATCCAATACCTAGAGATGTCAACGTTTGAATTTTTCCAAAATTAGTATTTATAACCTGTAACCTTAATATCGACATTCCTTGCAAGAAAAATTAAATCAACGCTACTTTTTAGTTAATATTTGCCACTTCAGAAAAAACGTTTCGTTTAGCTTTTAAGTTTAAGAGTATCTTAAATGATTTCTCGTACTTAAGTTAAAAACGATTCAATTTGCCTTTACTATGTATCTCATATAATTCTAATATTTTTTGTTCGAGAAATCGGATTTTTTATTGTTGAAAATGTTTTAGAAGAAACAAGTCTATTTTCTGAGAAGATCCGGTTTAAATCCTCGATGTTTGATGATCATATGCCCTGGGCCTACAATTCACTGTTCAAAGGTAAGAACGTACATTAACTCTAAACAGACTGGTGGGGGGGGGGGAGGGTCTCCTCTAGTTTTTTGCCCTAGGACTCGTCATTTTTGATAGTATTATCTTGAAAGTCTGAAGGAAATAGTAATTCCTAGAATTTTTGTATATTTTTTCATGTACACTGCTTTAGATAGGATACAGGGCGATCGGAAGGCCAGTTGGTGTTATTTTTAAATATCCCATAACTTTTTTGTTATTCAGATATTATTGAAAACCCGATGAAAAATTAATCTAAAACCGCCACATCATCAGATGTTAATATAAAATAAAAACTAATGGAGCTACGAGGTCACAAAGTCCAGTACCAGAAATATCATACAAGTTTGGTCTTCTCAAGCTATCTAGTTCAGTTTGCTAAGTTTATGGCTGGTTATAATTCGTGTATACGTCTGCAGTTTGAATCCCCGTTGGGGTCTTACTCTTATCAAATCTCTTTTTATTTCAGATTTTGGATCTAATTGTTCGGCTGTAGACCACCTGGATTTATCAGCTTTAGATTTTCTGCTTGGAATACCACCTGGAGAAATCAAACCTGAACCTGAACCTGAACCTGAACCTGAACCTGAACCTGAAACTAAAGCATTCTCCTCCAAACTGTACCCAGATCTGGAAGAGATGCAGGACTAAATAATCAGAAGAAACTTAGTTTTTGACACAAGCTCAAATTTTATTATCCAATAAATTATACAATTGCAGCATGGGACCAAAGGAATTGAGTTTTTGCCACAAACTCTGAATTTTAAATCCCTATATATTAACAACCCAATGGTGTAGACCTTAGATATTTCAAAAATCAAACTATGACTTCTGCTACATCAAACAATATAAGTTTGAAATATCAAAGGTTTACATCATTTGGTTGTAGATATATAGATTATAGGTATTAGAAAGTTGGTATTTGTGGCAAAGACTCATTTCCTTTAATGAATTTTTGGAGTCACTGAACCTACTTCCAGTTCATATTTGAACTACCGATTAAAATTCTTCCTAAATCTTCTATAAATCGAATCGATGGATTAAATTTGAACCGGCAGTAAGTAGTTCAACGACGTTTCTCAAATTCATTAAATTCGTTCCCTGATGGAGTAAACCTTTTATATCACAAACATAAATTCTTTAGATTCTTTAAATAATAGAATCCTTAATTTTGAATATTAAAGTTTTATGGCAATTGTGTTGCAAAGAAAAAGGGATTAGAACATCAGAGTTTGTGACAAAAACTCAATTCCTTTCCAAACCAAACAAACAAACCAACAGACAAGCAAAGTTTATTTTTATACGGATAGATATTCACATTTGTTTCATTTTAGTATTATCATAGAAACCTGTATTAATAAACCTGTACAAATATGTTCTATAGTTTCTAGAATCTAAATGTAAATAAAAAGCGGATGTAAGTGAAAAATTAAAAGAACTTAAAAGGGTATAACTTAATTACAAACCAATTTTAATTTCGGTGAAATACCTGATTTCCGTAATCGCAACTTATCATATTAAAAAAAAAATTATTTTGTACAAAAATATTGGACAGAAAAAAAACAGCATCGAACGTTTTTTAAATTTTCATAAATACGATCGTAAAGTTCTGCGAATATTATGAAATGATATTTATATATTGATGTGATGGATTGCATCCAAATTTTCTGAATCCTTTATCTTTCGATATTTCAAGCTTAAACCAGAAGACCTTGCAGAATTCATAGTTAAGTTTTTTAAATATCATTGTAACTTTAGGCAACTACGCAAGGATTTTACTATTAAAAATCCAAAAACTCTGGTCGCAAATCATCAAAATTTTCTTATGAAGTTTTTTTCCATTGTAAAAAGGTATTTTTGTTATTTTATATACTGTTTTTTTAGTGCCAAAAATAAATTCTATTTACTCAAACTCATTAATTTAATGTAGAAAAAACGAGCGAAAAAAAATTTTAATTCTGAAAATACTATTGAAATTATTGTTGTGTTTTAAACTTGACAAGTAATTAACTCAAATAATTTTCTCAATTGCTTCTATAGTATGAATCAGCAATTCTCTTTTATAGAAAACCCTCAGAAATGCTTCTCTATAAGTGGAGAGTTCCTTTAAATCACGTCTGTAGACCCGTTAATTTGGAGAGGGGGGAGGGGGGCTCTGTAAGGTTATTATTTTGATATTGTTTTGAGATATCAAGGCCTTCTCCAGACAATAAAACTGTGGAGTAGAGAAAGACGTTTAGTTATCCTACGAGTTAATGATGTTTTTAATACCTGGCTTTGGCCCTGTGTACTAAATATAGTTTAGTGAGATGAAATGAGGTGGAAAAATGATCCAGAAAAAACTAAACAATAAGTTATATTGTAACATCTGGTATTCAGTCTAAGAAATAATATTCTACAGTAAAGTTGTAAATAGCATAGAAAACAACATTAATTATTTCTCATTTATAATCATGAATAGAGATATTTGATGATGTTCATCTTAATTCTTAGTGGTCTCACTTCTCAGGACTTTTAAGTTCATCACGTGCTCAAGCCAGACCCTTTTCAGCATTATTGCGATTATTAGCTGCAAACTCTTTCTCAAGCTGAGCAACTCTGTTTGTTTTCTAGAAATAGCATCTTTGTAAGCTCTTGCCGTGACTGTTCACGTTCATAAACCAATTTTCTGTTATATCTTAAGCTTCATCTCCAGGATATGAGTTATGAGAGTATCAGTGACACCTTTGATCTCAAATGGGAAATTCTTTTCGAGACCGTTAGTCTTTTCGACCCTATGCTGAGCATCAAGATCATACTTTTTCTTCCAATCGGCATTGTCAGCTCTAAACAAAAATGTTGTGAATTACAGACATAGAGAATAGAATATATAGAGAGGAATTAAAAGAATCTCTCGGTATGAATTTTTTCAGTCCCTTTCAGCCTGAAAGGGAGTTCAACGTGTACAAATCATGTAAATGTTTACAAATTATATGCAGTAGAGTACATTAATACAGTATGTTCCCTAGACTATTCATTTCAATTTCGAATTTTTTAAACTGTTAAATAAACTTTATAATGAATTAGGTGAATAAAAACCTCATTTGATTTATAGTTATAACGGAAAATCTTCGTTTGTAAAGTGAAAGGCATAGAGTCTATATGAAATGATAATTGGTCAAATAATTTTAGATTTTCTATAAAATGATATTCCAGGGCCCAACAGGTTATATAGCATAAATATGTGAAGTACACCTGCAGTATGGAAACAGTTCAACAAAATGGCCGTTTTACACTTTTTTCCAGTAAATTCCTCTCTATATATTCTATCCTCTATGATTACAGAGAACTACACTTGGTCACTAAAAGAGTCCTGAAAAAGTTTATATTTACTCACTGAGCCTTCAAGTTGAATTTTCAGGGCACAGAGCAGTCTCTTCATTTTCTGATATTCCTCTCTTCAATATTATTTCCAGCAGCATTGCGTCTAAAAATACTTTTAATTTCAAGGTTTAACTTCTTGAAATTACTAACTCTCAAAAATAATTTATAAGATATTTTTTTTCATTATTTTTTGTTCAATGCATTATCAATGTATAATGTCTGTACAATGTTTTGTTTCAGATAAAAAAATCATTTTGATAATGAAACTTTTTGTTAGATTTGGAATATTTTCGTTGATTCTAACTTTACTCTATATCTTGATAGGTGAAATGAAACAAATAATATTTATTAAAAAAATACCTAGTCGTATCTAGTCTTAGCAATTTCAAATGACCCTTTTATAAAGGGACTGTATACGTAATTTTAAGTGCCTGCATCTAAAGGTTGACATGTGCAATAAAAAAGGATACCCTTTAAAGTTTAGTATGATTAATGATGAGTGAGATTATCATGTCTATAACTCAAAGCCTAAGAACTTTTCTTGTTCTATAATATAAAAATAATGAAATTAAAGTCCTGTTCGGATAAAACCCAAGTCATTCGATATTCAACGGGGTTAATAAAATGGTTAATCCCTAATATATATCTTCGTAATAAAAGCAAAATTTCAAACATACCATGTTTAAATAACAATATTCAAATTTCAGAATAGAAACTTTTTGAATATACTTCCGTTTTTCGACACCTAAATTAAGCTGTATAAATTGAGGGTAACTTATATGCGCAACTGCAACAATTTACTTTCATCACTTAAATAATATAACCTCAAACAAGAATTTCCTAGAATTTTGAAATAAATTCAAATTTTTAAAAGGATCTTTATTTCAATTAACAGAACTGTCATAATTTAACAATTCGTGAGGTAGAAAAACGACGATATTTTCCTTCTTTTTACTGAGATAAGTATATAAAGGGTGCAGTTGGGAATCGGAGGGTCATATGAAAGTAGATTTTTATTTAAGTTTTAGATAACTCAGAGAATTACTTACTATGTGGCAACAAAGAAACCTGGAGCCCTGAAAAAATATCAAGCCTGAAAAATCAATCTAACCCTGAACCAGGAAACAAAATAAAGACTAATCCAGTTCACAAAATTGTTCATGAAGATGTTTACCCTACCGGGGTTAGGATTATAGATCTTCAAAACTTCACTCTCAAAATAAACTTTGACATTTGCAATGTTTCCAAAATAGGTGAAAATCTTAAATTTTCTATTTAGGTTTAAACTTCTCTAAAGACCTGATTGAACTTATATTTGTCTTAAACTACGGTGGTAGGCGGTTATATCAATATAATGAAGACCACTTTTGATTCAAATTTTTATTCATGACATGTTTTTAAATAGCATGAATGCACACATAAATATAAACAGAGATAAGATGTCAATTAAAAAAGCTTCTCTTTAATTACTTGTAAACTTGTAATTAGAAAAAAGCTTGTTAGCAATAAAAACTTTAATAAAAAAGTCGTCTACATAATATTGATTTTATCGCCTACCACCGTACAATAATATTCTTTCTTTTCAACATGATATTTTCATACAGTACATATTCTGCCAGAAATCGGAACTTTTGTATTGAGCATTTTGATTCTAGATCTTGATCTTGATATCCAGTGAGGACACTTTAAAATTGAGGAGAAATGCTTGATTCCAAAATAATGTTATCATGCAGGGTATGAACACTTACCACGAGATAACACAGAGCAATTAAAGTTAAGATGGAGTTCAATGTTTGATCACCAGAATCACAGCACTTGTATTTTGGATGTCGAGATAAATGCTTGATATCGTTCTTTCTTTATATCTGCAGATTAATTAATCTTTATTAGATATCTCGCATGGTAATCGTACCCAGGCAGGGAAGCTTTGATTTGGGGACAAAACTGAAATGAAGGGATTAATCATTAATCCTCAAGTTAAAAATGCCCACAGTAGATAACGAGATCGAGCGATCGGGATTATGAGTAAACATTGCAAAAGTTCCCAGCTCGTTTACTTATCATTTGAGGCGAGTAATTAATTGTTTTTATTACTTTTAAGCTCTTGTTGTTTTGGTTCATTCCTCTCCAAATAATCTAGAGAGAAGATCAAATATAAGGTTAGGAATCGACCGTGGAAAAAAATGTTAGTGGTTTGGGAAATTTTTAAAAATTAGTCAAAATAATGGGGTTTGTCATAATAATTTGATTAGATCAAAACGAGGGTTCTGTAGAAAAAATCGAATTGGAGAGCCCTAAAGGTATGATTATGAACAAACTATGTACGGTAACAATGAATTAAAGATTAAATATGTAAACAATACAAATTTTTAAATGAAAAATAGAAGATATGTAAATATTATGATTTTATTATTATTTGTGTTATTATAGAAATTATCAACGTAACAAATAGTTTTGTATTAAAATAGCTAACATTGCCAATAGGCCCAAGAGGATATTAATTAATATCCTCTTTCCCAACTTTAAATATAATTTTTTCTCACTGTATATTATATAAATTCAGGGGGTATATATTAGTATCACTACATTGGAAAAATAAATAATTCTTTCTCAAAAATAGACTATTGTCTGATTCACAAAGATATCCATTTAAACATATCTGATAAATAATTACCTTGAATTTAGCTTAAACAGATTTTAATTCCCGCAATTTCCTCCATCGATTCTGGAGTAAAAAAAAGATGCAAGTCACTTCTAATGGAAAACAAAAGTGATAAGGTTCAAAATCATTCTCATGCCGATCCGTATCCAAAACATGAAATTCTTACATTGAAAAAAATGACTTTAGGACAAAATAAATGAATATTTCACCAATTCTTATGAATAATGGAGTATTGTTATTAGATGAAGACGACTTATCCTTGGAAAGCATTGACTTTGAGGATCAAGACCTTGACAAAAAGCTTGGTAAGAATAATATAAAAAATTTTAAATTATATTTTAATGCAATAGAAAATAAAGTACATTTCATTGAATATTTTCTCGGTCATTGTATTACAGGTCAGTGTTGTATAAACCGAAAGCAGTTCCTGTTTAACACAAATTAATTTTGCCAAATACTGTTATTTTCTAATTCCTATATTGCAACCTTGCAACCTTATTAAGGAAACCTTAAGCTTTACCTATTTGATATATTTGATCACCGTCCACTAAACCCCACTAATTTTTCGGTCAGAGCACTTTAAATCACTCCAGTAGACACAAGCTTAGTATTGAGGGTGCTAACAGTATTCATAGTTTCAATTAAAAAAATTATACTTTATTAAGTTTCAATTAGATGTTAGAATAAAGTTTCTGATGATAATAAATAAAACTAGCTTAGGAACCCAGCTTTGTCCGGAAACTAAACTTTCTCTAAAAACAATTCCGTGGTTCTAACGAGTTACTCGATCTAAAATTGAGAAAAATTGGTCCCCTGAGTTATGAAACTTATTATCAAACATACACACGAACAAAAACGCCGAGATTACTACTTTGTTTATATGTTTAATTAATATTGAGATGAGGATGGGTTAAGTGATGATGATACAGACGAGATGGAATATCAAGAAAGGGAAGGAAAGGTAAATGTTGTGAAATTATTGTAATTTCAAGGGACATTTTTTTCAAAGAGAGTCATGCTGATTTACAAGGCTACTCTTTGAATCTTTATTTGATAAACAATGTGGAATGAACAGTGTTAAATTCTGACAATTTCCGTCCGTTGTGTCCGTAGCATAAAGTCCACACATTCGCAGTTAATATATTTTTAAAGAAGAAAAACATGGTTTTCTTCTTCATTTTTGATTAGTGAACGTTTTTATGGGCACCGTTGTAAATCAGGCATGTCACTCTATGAATGAGAGTCAATTGAAATTATGTCTTCAGTCCTCTTAATATTTTCAAATATTTGTTAGGTTATTGTTATGAAATTTGAATATCACAATGTAAGGTAAAATGTATATTTTATAAAAAAATACATTTCAAAATTTCTAATCTTTAATACTTTTCAGATTTACGGAAAGGTCTTAGTTTCAATCTAATGCAGCTCTTTGCTCATATAAATATATATTTATATGATCGCTATAGTTGGCTAAAAGTACGGCTGGACCAATTTGGCTGAACATTTTTGAGTAAAAACTTTGAATCTCCAGCTAGTTATATAATATATCACTGCTTTTATTCCATGATCATAATTTGTGTTTAACGCGGCCAGGCATCGTCTTCCACAATATTATGAAGGAAAAGTAGGCAGAAAACAATTCATGGAAATTCTTAGTTTACAATCTCTCAAGCAAAACAAACCTAATTGCTAAATATAAATTTTTAGTTGTAGAAATCCCAGCTCACTATCACCTAAAAGTTGCAGTTTAGGAGAAAAATTAGAAAACAACAGAAAAGTGTGTGGTCCGGACGAAATGTAGGTGGGCCACACATATTTTCCGTTTTTTGTTAAATTGGGCTGAAATTCGTTTTATTTTTCTAACAAACTGCAATCACTGCAAACCAAGACGTGCAAGCTCTAATGCAAAAAAAAGCAGTATTTTTTCAATTACTCTTTTTAAACTAAAGCTAGAAACAATGCTTTAAAATGTATATGTCCTAAACTACAAAAAAATCAGATTAATTTTCTTGCTTTCTTTGGTGTGTCTGTCTAACTTATCATTTGTTCCGAATATTTTTATGGGTTTTTTATATGAATGTTTCTTTTCATCATCCCCAGTTTTTAATGTTTTTAATTTGATTTTTCTTAAGTTCTCCTCTCTCTCTTGATATGGATTTCATTCTTCAAAAATTTTTTTCTATCATCTCAAAACTATTGATATGTGTGGTTTTGAACTAGAGAAGTGCTTCTGAAACGAGCGGATAAGCTTAGCTTGATGCTGGATAGGTGGATGGACTTGGCAGGAGCACTTTAATCAACGGTAACCTCTATTCTTCACCTAAAGGGTTGACAGATACCAACCAACCAATGGGTTTAATTGGTTAGCCAACTGACTAGAATGTATCTACTTTATCTCTCTAGATTTGGACTAAATGATGGGGATTTAAAGGTCTAGTTAGAACAGGGGCAGTGCACCCTGCTACCTGGGTGGTCTGGGGGGCCCACAATGGGGTCTCTTGCAGATTTCACTTCCTTATGATTCCTTAACCTTAACTCTTCTTTAGCAGCATTGTATTCTCTGCTATCTTCACCACTTTCCTGCTCAGGTATTCCTGTTTCCGCTTCATCTTGTCTGCTTGAGCTTTCCTAGTCCTGGCCAGCCGGTTGTCTCTTTGAACTCTCCGTAGGATTCCAGGGAACCGGATTAATTTTCTTGCTTTCCTTGCTGTGTCTGTCTAACTTATCATTTGTTCCGAATTTTTCTATTGGTTTTTCATATGAATGTTTCTTTTCATCATCCCCAGTTTTTAATGTTTTTATTTGATTTTTCTAATTTCTCCTCTCTCTCTTGATCTGGATTTCATTCTTCAAAACTTGTTTTTATAACTGCGTTCTCAGCTAGAGCTGTAAGGGTAGGTGGATTTGAACCAGTTCTCCTAATTGTAAGACTTGCTCTTAACCTCTTCTCTGCTGTTTGCTGTTTCTCTGGATTTTCTGGTTGATTTCTTGAAACCAGATTAACTTCCTCATTGCCCTTGCTGGACCTGTCTGAATCCTTATTCATTTTAGATGCAGCTGTGGACTTTGACGCTTCTTGTCGTTTTACCATTCTCATGTTAAATCTTGCGGCTAGACTCTCCATATTCTGTCTGTTTGAAATTATTCGAAATCTTCTTTGCCTCAGCATCCTTCAGCGTTTTCATCTCTAGTTTATATTGCTCCATCTTTTGCATTATGATATATTTGATACTCTATGCTTTCAAATTGAAGGTCTTAGTTTCTACTGTCTGTTACTCTTTCCCCAATAGTTCTTCTCCCAGCTTCATATCCTCCACATTCGGTATCTTGTTCTTTCTGATGATTTGTTCTTTCTGATGATTTGTTCTTCACTGTTTGCCTTGCTGTTTCCTATTTCCCACATGTTGTCTGCTCTCTTGTTGTTTTTTCTATCATCTCAAAACTATTGATATGTGTGGTTTTGAACTTGTGTATATCAGGAGCTGACTGTCAAGCTAATACTGCCTTAATATCTCCTTTCTGTTTTGGTTCCTTAGGCATAAAAAAATCTGCATCATACAATCTCTTGGAAATTCGCCCTTAAATTTAACCAGCCTCCTCGTGTTTGGATCATAGGCTTGCAACCTTAACTCTTCTTTAGCAGCATTGTATTCTCTGGTATCTTTACCACTTTCCTGCTCAGGTATTCCTGTTTCTGCTTCATCTTGTCTGCTTGAGCTTTTCTTGTCTCTTCTTCTTCCTGTTTCTTGTCTATGGATTCCTGTCTCCTGCTATCATTATATTTCTGTTGTGAGAATCTCCATGTTATTCCTTCAAACTCTCCTGTTTCACATTGTTAAAATGCTGTTCCTTGCACCAAAAACGGTACTATCTCTCTTCTAGCTGCTTCCATGATACCTGACACAATATCATCTTTTTTATATCTTTATCAAGGATTGTTTCCCAGCCGTTGTTAAGCAGATGAGTTTCCAAGTTTTTTCACCATTCAAACATTGTCTCCGGGTTTCCATCGTGTTTGGAAGCTCTTACAATAAAATCCTGTGTTCCGCTTGAAATATTTTCGATATCCTATATCTCTTCATATGTATCCTCATTTGCTTTTCCTGTATCCACCAGCTTCTGTAGATCTTCCATATATTGTTGTGATTCATCCATCTTTGTGTTTCCTTCTAACATTGTTCTTACTCCTTGGATCTTTTTTTCTTTTCTTAATTGTTGTCCCAATTTCTCCAGTCTTGTCTCGTATTCTAATAGCTGTCTAAGGTTTTCCAACTCTTTGTCTTGAAGGTTTCCACTCGCTTTTCAGGTTTCCTCCACATAAATGCCTGGTTCTTCATTGTATCCTCCAGGGTGTAATTTAAAACTGTCCATTGTTACAATGTGTTTGCGCTGTTCACAATTTGTTGTTTCATTGTTATTTGTTGTTTTAGTAATTACTCAGGTTTCTTTGATCTGATTCACGCTGTTACCACCAGCATTGTAAGAAATACCTACTCCATAACAATTTACTTGAGACATATCTATCCAGGTCTACTTGTTACCTAGATCAACAAAGGCTAACTCTCTGATTCTAAATGCCACACAGACAATATCTTAACCAGGTTTAACTCCCCGGTTCTTAATGATACACAAGCAAAATCTCAAGCAGACTTCTCTCCCCTGTTCTAAAGGACACACAGTCCAATGAAATTACTACACAGGCAATTTCTCAACCAGGCTACAATACTCCCCGGTTCTTAAGGACACACAGTCCAATGAAATTGCTACTAGGCAATTTCTCAACTCGTGTAATTCAATGAGAACCAAAAGCTCTAATTTCAAGCTCCCTATAGATTTAATACTAAATCATCGAGCAAAAGCTTATGTAGCAAAGTTAACAGGAATTGATGTAGTTCAATTACTACGATGTTATCTATATCACATGATTAATACCATCGTATTATGCATAAACTATCTGCGTACATATTTTGTAGTGTAATTCAAGTATGTTGCATGATTCAAGCTAATCATATTAAATATTCTATTATAACACAGCTTTAATGAATAATGTCACTATACAAGTTTACAATTTAAATCATTAGCAATGTACATCGTACTGCAATTTCACAGAATATCATGTTTGCCACCTTTTGCTACATATATAATCTAGGTTTAGTGTTACCAAGGTTCTAAGTCTAGGTATATATGTTCTATCTTCTAAATAATAAAATAAGACATGCATATATATATATGTTGCCTATAGCCGGCCAAACGGCTGGACCGGATTGGGCTGAAATTTTTTGTGGACTCTGACGGGTGGTGTTATAGGCTAAAAAAAATTCAAAATTTTTATAATTTTTTTATTTTTATTTTTTTCCAAATTTTTTTTCAAATTTTTTCTTTCAACGGGCAACGCCATGTCCTTCAGCTAATATGTATATATATCTAAATAATCTAGGTTAAGTGCTATCAAGGTTCAAGATCTAGGTCTATATGTATATATAATCTAGGTTCTAGGTCTAGGTATATATTTATTTGTTTATGTAATAATCAGGATTAAGTGATATCATGGTTCTAAGTCTAGATCTGTATGTATATATTCTAGATTAAGTGCTATCAAGGTTCTAGGTCTAGATCTATATGTATATATATATATATATACTAGGCTGCGCCCATCTTTTATTGTAATTGTGAACATTTTCTCTTTGTATACATTGTAAAACAAAAACATACAAAAAATTTCGCAGATTTTACAAAAGAAATCGTGGATTTCCATAATTCAATGAAAATCAAATTTTGTTGGAGGGACATTTTTAAAATTAGGATCATCTATAAACCTTTCCTATGGTCATGTGAGGTCCCACACAAAATTTGGGCCCGATCGGTTTAGCCGTTTGGTGTTTATTGGATACAAATAAACAAAAAAATAACAGTACATCCAGACAAGCAAGATATATTTATAGATAATCTAGATTGAGCACTATTAAGGTTTTAGGTCTATATCTATAAGTATATATTTATTTTAGGTTGAGTGCTATCAAGGCTCTAGGTCTGAATGAAGACGGTATGCCCTATGTTTGGGTTTCTGAGCTAGGTTCTCTAGATTTTGAGGATCATACTCCAGATCATGTAATCTCGGTTCATCCAAGCTCAAAGTAAGATCAGAATCCGTTGATTAGATCAAGGGACTGTCGTTTTAACTCTCCATTTAATTTAATAAAAAGTTGCAATCATAAATGATCAATTAAAAACACTAAGATATCTTATCAACTTTTGATCTGGCGCAACTTTCAAGGTACCACAGTGAATTGTACATGCCACTCCGTAAATTGAGTGCCACTAATCCATATACATTTCCAATCTAAGAACCTTAGATAATGCAAAAATGAATTCTGTTGGATATAATAATCTAAGTTTAAAATATCAAAAGTTTACACCATCATCAGATTACAAAGATATAGATAATGAGATAATTTTTAGTTTGTGGTTAGGACTCAATTCCTTTGTTTATAAAAAGAACATTTGCTAGACAATTTCATTAATATTTTCTCTAGGTGTGTAATATTGACTATCCTTGGTACCAGGATATTTCCGAGACCGAGCCCGCAGGTAAATAAATATCAAATTATTATTATTAATTCTGTAAGACTAATTCGGCACTTTTTCATGCACTAGCTTGTAAGAAGCTTAGCTTTGTAGGCTTTTATACTAATCTGGATATAACAATTAAATATTCTAGGATATACAATAATTAAATAATCTAGGATAGAATGATTAAACAATAAAATGATTAAATAATCTAAGATATAATGATTAAATAATCTGGAATATAATAATGAATAATCTAGGATATTATAATGAAATATTCTAGAATACAATTTGATAATCTAGGATATAATGAAATCTGGAACATAATAATGAAATAATCTAGGATATTATAATGAAATATTCTAGAATACAATTCAATCAATCTAGGATATAATTATGGATCTAGCAGCTAAAACTATAAAATTTAATCAATCTAGGATATAATTATGGATCTAGCAGCTAAAACTATAAATCTAGGATATAATTATGGATCTAGCAGCTAAAACTATAAAATTTTATCAATCTAGGATATAATTATGGATCTAGCAGCTAAAACTATAAAATTTAATCAATCTAGGATATAATTATGGATCTAGCAGCTAAAACTATAAAATTTTATCAATCTAGGATATAATTATGGATCTAGCAGCTAAAACTTTACAACTTAATTAATCTAGGATATAATTATGGATCTAGCATCTACAACTATACAATTTAATCAATCTAGGATATAATTATGGATCTAGCAGCTAAAACTATAAAATTCGATGAGGGAGAGGCACACTGTGGGATGGCAATGGGAGCCAGGTAAGACATAATTGGAAAAAGTAAAAAAACAGAAAACCTATGAATATAAAGACGACCTTTAAGAGTCTAGAATTTTAATGAGTACATTAAAAATAAAGCACATTGTCTACAGACCATTCCACTCAATAAGTGATTTTATGTTAACCATTTGCTTTGTAATAACATCAAAAAAAGTTAAAGAGTGCTGTAATGGTGTCTTCATATTCCAAAGGTGTTCTTACTTAACTACTGTACATTTTTAATATAATTAAAAAATGATGGTCATGTTTTTAATTTTTCATGGAGAAAGGGCGTTATGTGAAATAAAGTATGGATATCGATCACAGGATAAATAAAACAATCGGTCTCAATCCCCAATGTGCAAATAAGATTTGATCGAAGTCATGATGAGAAAAATGGTTATAACTCGTACCAATAAGTTATAGTGATTTTGAATTGTACTCTTACAAATTCTTTAAACATATTTTTTTCCCCCTTAGAAACCTGCTGAAGACCTCGAGAGAGGAATTGACGAATATTCTAAATATTAATCCTGGCTGTACCTTCGTTATTCTTGGTTATTCACTTGGTAAGCTTTTCTATATTTTTTACAGTGATCCCCGGCCATATATCTGTAGAAAAGGAAGACTTATTTCTAATAGTTGTTTTCGTATTCCACAGTTATATGCGTCCCACTGTATTCTTTAACACATTACACATTTTGTTCCTACTATTAAACTTCCAAACCAAATTCTAAATTTTGAATATGTTGTTCGATATTATTATTATCGTCTAAGAAGTCATATGATTTAAAAGTAAAGAATCAGTTTGAATTTTTGTTTCCTAATTTATGTATTTTTAATTTTAAAGGTGCGGGAATCGCCCAGTTGGTAGCTTACTCTTTACTTAGTCCTGAGTACAAAAATCTGATACCAGATGGCATTGAAGTGAGGTATACAATGTTCAAATCATTAGCTTAGTTTTATTTTCCATAATTGCTTTAAGTTAAAACTTCCTAAAAGGTAACATACATAGTACTTACATACCATTATATTTGTATTCGTATAAAGTAAAAATCAATTTTGATCTGTCCCCTAACCTGCTCTATAGCCGCAGCGCTTAATTAGCTGTCTTAGACGCAGGGCTGTACAACCTAGCCTATCTTAGACGCGGCGCTTGATAATAATCTATATATTTATTAGAACAGTACTGTACGGTTGTCCCCCAGTGTACGGTTCCTCAACATCTATTCCTCAACTTAAAAACGTTTTAGGTAAAGATAAACTCTTGGAGTTGTTTTATAGACTTAAATGAAACCTTGACTACAATGTTCCAGGTTTACTTTTTTGTGATTTTTACTTTTATTTCTCATCGGATATTTTATTAAGATAATGCTCAACGTTTATATTTTCTTGTAAAATAAATCTGATCTTTAAAAGAATCAAAACATCGCCCTGGAATTTTTCATGGTTTTATTTTAAAGGTAAACCAAACTTAAAGGAACCAAAAATCACAGATTAAAAGTGAGAGTGCAGTTATTTCTTTCTGAAAAGTTCATCGAATTTTGTTTTGGAACATTTGTTTGAACTTCGGTGGAACTGGTTTTAGTCTTAAAATGAAACACTGACAACACTTTTCTAGGGTTGCTTTATTTTTTCATTTTTATTTTTATTCCTAACCTTATAATTTCACGTGTTAAAATGATGCTCAGCATCAAATAGATTGTTAAGTACAATAGATGGCAACGTAGAATTTGTACACTCTCAGTACAGTTGTATTCTGTCGTCACAAGTGTCAATTCAGTTTTTGTGTCCGACAAAATTATCAATAATAGTGATAATTTTAAAATAAAGTGCTTTTCTTACAGTAAAATAAGTGAAATTTTTATGTTTTTTAGTTTCTGTTTTTATTTAATCTTAGAAAACATGTCAACTAATGTGAGACAATTTCGTTTTCTTTGTTATATTTGACACTTGTGACGTTGTGTATAATTTGTTCATTTCACTGTTGCCACCTATTGTACTTGATAATCTATTTGCTCAGCATATATATCTTGTTTTGTTTACCAGTGTGTACATTCTTCCATGCAGCAGGGGAAAACATATTCTGCTTATAAAAATACACAAAATTTAAATTGTATCAGCATGGATGTTTTTAAAAATAATTTTTCTTGAACAAAAGATTTTCTTCAAATTTTCAAATAATTTTCAACTTTTCCTCAACCTTTTTAAACTTCTTTTAGTCATAATAATAATGATAATAAAAATAATAATAATAATAATAATAATAATAATAATGACATTTATATTTGAATTATTTTGTTTAGTTGTGCAGAACCATAATGATGGAATATGCGGCGCAAGCTTGAAATCTATAAATGATGTTTTCCTAAAAACTCGAGCAATTCATCGCCTTAATCTTAAACGAAGAACTCTATTTAGGTAAATATAGATATCACGGTGAGGTTGAAACTTTATATGAGTTTTTGCCACAAACTCTTATTTTGTAACACCTATATCTTAACAACCCCATGTTATCAAATGAAATATTATGAAATATCTAAGGTTCACATCATTTACCAGGTTGCAAAGAAATAGAGATTAGAAAATTTAAAGTTTTGGCAAAAACTCAGTTTTTGAAAATCGATCCTTTGAGCAGATTAAATAGTTATATAGTTTCTGGAAAATAAAAAAATTACAGACAATAGGAACATTTTGGACACATATAGAGAATTTGGTAAAAAAGATATATTGAACCTTTCGTACATTAGACACACACATAGAAATTATGGTCAGTATGGTCAAATGAAAACAATTTGGTTAACAATAATAAATTTTGACAGAAATCAACAATCTAGTCAAAGAATTTGACATAATTTAATTGATAGAATGGTTCTGACATCAAGTTCGGGTAAAGATAAAAGAAAAGGTAATTATTA